AAATGCAAGGGCAATCAGCAAGGATGTGAAGAATAAGAAAAATAATTTATTGATGCCATTTGTAAACCGTTTTTGAGACTTAAGACTTGAGTTTCCATTTCCAATATATTGACAATTTTTAGCTCTGATCCAATCAAGAAATTGAAAATACCAACAATATTTCCTCCCATTTTGGCTTTGAGTACTTCAAAAGCAGATTAAATATTTGGCTTATCCGAATATACAGAACGCTGCGTTATAATTAAGTCCTAAAACAATGAAACAAAAATCTCGGGCGGTAATCAGAGCTGCTGCCCAAAAGGTCCATAAAGGGTTGCCTTTGGCTGTCCCTTAAAACTCATAGCCCAACCGAATGTCCGGCTTTAATTCCAATTGAAAGTCAGGCTTCCGAGGCAGCCAAATCCTGCAAAATTTCTGGCAAGTTAATTTGCATGAAGTGGAGTGGCAAACAGGAAAAGGGCAGCGAGACAAATAAAGGCGCAACCGGTGAGAGAGTTCCCCGGTGGGGAAGAGCAAATATTAATCCGCAAAAAGGAATTGTCACAAATTGTGTGTCCGGGCTTTTCTTTTTCCCACTGGCGTAGCCATTGTCCCTTTCGAAGGGGTCCATTAACGGTGAGCCATGCACCCCTTTTTGGGCAGGTTTGGCTGGTGCTGCTGCTCCAACGGTCTGCTTTTCTCACTGCTGGGCCAAACAACAGCTGCAGCAGGACGCAAAAGGACGAAAAGGACTTCGGAGTTGCGTGGAGCGGAGTGGCGCACGGAGAATGAGAATGGGGTTCGATGATTGTTTCAAATCGCAAGTTTGGCTTACCTTTTGGGGAATTAATTTGCCAAATAAACGCTGACAAAATTCAGGCAACTGGACAAGGACAATCCAAAAGGGCCGGCCGTGGCCAGAGATCCAACTAATAGGATTTTGATGATAGTTGCTCGGTTGTGCTTTTCTCTTTTTTCCCTGCCGGAGTCCTCCTTCTGGCTTTGCAGTGTGGCTGCCATAATCAATTTTTGGGCCGTTTCTGTCGGCCACTTCCTCTTTACCCTGCGAATCGCTGTGATGATTGCAGCTCGTGACCCATGAAATGAGTTTTGCCATGTGTGATGCCAGGAGGAGGGGCGGGGGTTGGTGCCCCATGAAATGGGCAGAAGATCGGCCAACTGAGCCGCAAAACCAAAAGCTGCGGCACATTTTGTATTCATGACTTTCCCTCTTTTTCCCCGAAATCTGCAAACATAAGGGCCAGGGATACGGCAAACTTTTTGCGTGTCCTTATAGAGCAATTTGCTACCGCGGTGAAATATTGTTCTCGTTTCGTTCATTTCCTTAATTTAAAACACCTCATGTATTGCTTGTAAAATTAAATAAAATCTTGCGTGAAATCATGAAGACTAAATTAAGTATTTTAGGATCTGATATTTCTTATCCTAGCTATCGATGCTTCAGAATGCTCAACAAATAAATTATCTTTGATAGCCATATAAATTAATTGTAAAGAACAAAATATCCTGACAGAAAAAGTATATTATATAGCCCTGATGATGATATATCTGATTTTCTCGTGCTGATTCTCCGCTAGCCCTTTTTGTGTCTGAGATTGTGGTGGCATGATAATTAATTTTGGTGCTCCATATACGTGTATGTACATTTTGGACTACGAGAGCGGTAAACAGAACTGGAAAATAATATACATAAATATAACGCATGTGCACTGTCGCAAATGCAGATTCCCCAAAAAGGCAGCTTCAGTCCATCTAAGCGGCTTAAATTGACAGGCTTCTGTAAAGGGAGTCCTTGAGAACGGGGACGGCACGGGGTCCTGTTTCCTCATCGAGAGCATGTGGGACCACGCCGGACGCTGCCCGGCGAGTTCATCAACTGAACTGCAACTTTGACTCGTTATGACCGGGAAAACTTTCGGATCTCTTGTTGTCCTTCGTTAGGATTTTTTATGCGCGGCTTTTCGACTGCAACTTTCAATGAAATTGCATAATAGTTTTTGTGAGCGCTGCCAACTTTGCATAGATTAGCTGCAAACGAATATAAAAACAGGAGAGCGTTGCAAGAAAAAAGTGCCCGGTGGCATTGCGCCACGCTTGACTTTTGGTAAATTATTTAATTGGCGCGCAGCGGGGACAACTTTTTCCAAGCGCTTAATTAATCACTGTGGTTTTTACGTTCTCATGCGATCCTATTATGTTCGTGCTAATTTGTTTACTTCTCATTGGAGAGAGATTGCCCATACGACACTAGGGGCATTTTAAGTTATCAGAAACCTCAAAGTGTATTGCCTCCAAAAGTCTGGAAAGTTTGCATTCACGCATGCCGCGATGTATGTTTAAACTATTTATAAACAAATAACCAGCCTATAAGAGCTTGCTCCAAGCAGAAGCTCGACAAGAAATCCAAGCAAGTTTGTCCAGGCCAAACAGAACAGTTTGGCTAAGTCTACGCCGACGGAAAACCTATTAGTTGTGTGCCATTTGAAACCGTCGGGCCGAACATAACAACTGAGCTATATATGTTCTCCTTGGAGCACGACGTAGTGGATGACGGACTGAGCCAGGCAAAGTTTAGAATAAGCACCCACAATATCTCCATTTGTAGACAGATACTCGTTGCCGTGCCCCCATAAGCAGATGAATGTGTGTTTGGTGAATGTAAAGAGTTTGCGGCAACAGTCTTGCCGAAGTCATCACCGCCATTTTGGGGCATCATCATTTTCGGGCAGCCCTGGCAAATAATTTGAAAAATCAACATCTGACATTCAGACATTCTGCGTCGTGTCGCAGGGCGACAATTTGCGTCCATGGAAGACTTGCTACAAAGTTTGCGATGCATTTACGCCACCCACATCCTGGACTCCCAGCGCGAGTGTTGCCGGGATGGGTTGGCCTTGAAAAGTCTGATTTGGAAAACACACTTTTGCCATTTTCGAAAATCGCACTTCGGCGCCTTGTTGGCCTGTCCTTGTTTGCGTATCGAGCTGTTGTTGCTACTCATCTGAAGTAGATGAAAGGCTTTTGGGCCCTGTCAGGACATAGACCTCGCCGCGAATCGGGGTTGCTGTTTACTTTAGCGGATGGTGCGGTATCTTTTTCGTTGGCATTCGACTCCGACCTCGTGTAGCGTCAGAGCTCAAGTGTGTTTGCCAATTGAAATGCTAGACAAAGTATCTATGTATATGAGGCTTGTCGGGCCGGTGATGATGTCGATGAATGCCGCATATACATAGATGGATGGATTTAATGGGGTAGCTCCCTGCCGATGAGGGAAGCCCCGCATCTAGAGCTGAATCAACAACAAGTTTAAGCTTTAAAATCATTGGTAATGATGATATTAAATGTGCTACAACTAGCGTGTTAGACACATCTTATTAAAAGCCCTTCACATGCTTCTAGAAAAATGGTATTCATTTTATTGACATAGCTGGCTTGAAATACATATTTCTCAGTAACCCATTTGGTGTGTTCCATAATCCAGACGAGAACAACATCGTAATGTGCACACAATTTGCCTCTGGTTTGGCACCGAAATTTTATGCTGAGCGCGTGAAAATTAATTAAAATATTCCCTTGTAACTGCCAAGCGCCGTCGGAGCATAACTGAATTTTAATTGAACGCAATCAATGCGAATTTATGAAAGCCCACAGACCAACCACCCACCCACTCCCCGAAGGACCTCCCGCAATCCGACCTACCACCTGCAGGCATCCGATTCAAGCCGGTCCAAAGGCTCGCCGGCAATTGGCATTAATTTGTCTGTCGAGAAATATCGAACAGAAAAATCAACTTCACCTCTCGGATCTCAATGGAAGTGCGACCTGTTTAGAGGAGGGCAAGGATAAGGGCACTGAAAACTTAATTAAATGCACGGAATTCGCTTTGGGCCGGCTTTGGGTTTACGGCTGCGGGGCTTTCGGTAGCCCCATGAATATTTATGCGTGTTAAAGGATTTCGAATAGAATATCATAGTTTGGGTTGCATGTGAAATGCAATTAAATACATTTAAATGCCATCTCAGCTCACCTCGAGCACCCTTGGCATATTTATTCAGATTTTAAAGCCCGTAAGTGCAGGGCATAAAAATAAATTCAGAGCAGCAGACAGAGCAGCAGCACCCAAGTCGAAATGAAATAAATCGAGTAAAATCAGTGTGACAGGAAGAAACAATTTAAGCATGTTGGACAGGATAAGCCTTCTGAGAGCGCCCCTTTTGGGGGGCAAGGTGTCTGTGACAATGCAGCACTGCAGATGCCGTTGAGTGGAGTGAGGGCACTGCAGTTTACACACAGTTTGCCAGCGAGACATGGTCGTAGATTTCGCCTGCAAAAAGGATTTGGAGAGCCAAACGAACCGAAAGGCGTACACGACACGAGGCGAGATGAACGGCGCAGGACGAAATGTCCTAATGCAATTGTCGCTCCTGTGTGCGTGCACATGCACATGCACATGCAGATGCAGCCGTGTAAGCAGTCGCCTGTGTCTGTGAGTGTAATTGATTTTATCGGTCATGTTAATTTTGATTAAATATGCAAATCGACGATACAAATTCTCATTTGTCGCCCACTGACAGAGTGAGAGCCGCTCACGTGCGAGTAGATTACCTTGATCACCCCTGGTGATGGACTTCGTGCCTGGCCCTTCGAAGAGATGAGCGCGTGACACGCTTGTAACCAAGAAATTAGGAAATTTGGACTGCTTTATTAGTAAATTGCGCCAGGGCTTAAAATCTAATTCATTTTATACAGCTTCATTCATTCATACAGCTGACATCCTAGTGCGAAAAATAAATAGAATCTGATGGAGTTGTAATCAACTGATTTCCTGAAATTTGAAATATTTTTTTTCATTTTCGGATTTTAGCAATATTATCAGCAACTCCTAAATAGACCCTAAGTCTACACGGATACCCTCCCTCCAGAATTCGGGTAGCAGGCTTCCTAACCCACCATTCACGACTGCATCTCTGGTGGAAGGGCTCCCATTGACAGTTATTATGTTACGGTATTATCTCGTTATTTATGCAGCAGATGACAAATGCAATTTGTTGTTTGCACACCGAACCTGGACCAGGAAGCATCGAGAATAGAGCCCGGCCACTGGCTGGACCGAAAATGGATGCAAGCACATGATAATTTCCAATCATTTGAATAATCTCCTCCTGGCTGGCCGTCCTCCTCCGCCGCCTGCAGTTTCGACTCCTGCTCTAATCCTCGATCCCGTCGACGTCCGTGTTCGCTGTGCGCTGTGAAAATATTAGCTTAAGAAAATGTCTAACGAGCTCTACGTGCTGCGGCATTCCAAAGTGCCTGCCTCTCTACCGCCGTCCTCCGCCGTCCGTCCTCCGCCCTCCGCCACGGACACCCCCATTCCGAGGTCATTCGGCACACGGGGCACACCGGTCCTAAGGTGAGTGGGCGGTTGGCTTGACCACGCCTATTAGCTTCGGTGAGGACATTGGTTGACTTTCGTGCGGTTTTTGTGTATTGATTAAAATTGCTGGCCAAATGCGAAATTGACACATGAGATGCATGGACAATTAGCAAACGCTTGGAGAGGGCGAGTCTGTGATACGGAGCGAGCAGGACTTGTCCAGGCCCAGCCAGGAGGTGGAGTATTTACACCTTCCGAACTTTGCCCTGGTCGTCTATCGGCGCCCCCAGCTCAATTCGAGTTGCGACGTTATCTCTGCGCTGGGTGCATAGCTTGTTTGCCTATGTCCAAATGCCTAATCATAAATCGAAATCTTTCTTTAAAAGTGGAACGCGGCAACAGCATTGTACGCAGGTATGTACGCATACATATATCTTATCGGGGCCTATGAACGGCTCTAAATTAAAACAGCCTTCGGCGATCGAATATAATATAAATTGGAAAGGTATATAAACAAGTCAGCGCACCGAGAGTACAGTCACTACAGTCACTAAAGTAATATTTGGCCGGCAGGTGTCGCTCGAGGGAAGAGTTAGTTTTGATCATCCACATTTGCATTGAGGGATGGCTCGTACTAGGAGATCGGGAGCCTCTCGGATGATTGATGGGGGATAGGTTTTGATATAGAGTATGATTGAGCGGCGGGCAGTGTCTTCGGCGAGAGCTGCCTGCAACTTGATTGAAGCTGCAGTAGGCAGTTCTAATTGCCGTGCCGGCAGTCTGACAAATGATGCTGCCTGCCGGGAATGTCCTGCCCCAGCCCCACAATGTGGCACCCATTTTTACGCTGCAATTGTTGCCTACGGCCGTTTTCTCACCGGGCTGGCAGACTGACAAACTGGCAAACTGGCAAACTGGCATACTGACAAAATGGCAGACTGGCTCTGTGGAAATGACTACGCCAAGGCAGCCTAGTCAGAAGGACGTGGATGGGAGTCGCACCCCCGGGGAAAACCGGATCCGAACTGAACCGACTGTGTGAATGGTGTCATTAAACGATTTTTCATTGCAAGCTGCCGCAGGTGAAATGTGCTCGTGCTGTGTGTGACTTTTTAGCGGTCCACGACCTTTGGCCCTTTAATCTCTTGAATCGCATTTGTGTTGCGGGAGGTGAAACATTTTTGTGCTTCTCTCTACTTGCCCGGAAATTGAAAATCAACTCACCTGGAGCGGAAATTATTATTTTTTTATTGACGACTTTTCCTCGCCCTCCCAATTCTGTCAAGTTCTCACTTCCATTTTGAATGTGTCATTGTTCGGCGTTTGGATTCGGCAGAGATGGGAGTTTTGAATACCATGGCCAACGTGGCACGTAGATTTTAATCAGCTTTATGTGGGAATACCCCAGATTGGAGTTGATAATGGAAAATTTCATCAAATTCTTGGCGCTTGCTAATACGGCGCGGTCATTAAGGAAATGCTAGACAAGAACATTATATTTCGTAAGCTGCACTTGTGGTGCGGTTTCCCCGTTTTGTAACATGTGCAAGCACCATACTCGAGCCAGTTATCGGTGTGCTATCAATGGGGAAATACTTATAAGCTTGCAAAACTGTGACTACTAGCCATGCAACTGCATCAGGAGCCCTCTAAGTATAGCTAGTTTTGGTTCTAATATCTTTGCTGCAGAAAGAAAGCACTGCTTGTGAAACTTGTGACCCGGACAGGTTCCAAGTCAAGAAGTTTACTAATGGCTTATCGGCGCGAAGGAACTTCGTCGGGGAGCCAAAGGGGTCATGTCGATGTGGGCATATATTTTTACTTTGAATCGAGATAAGATATGGCCACATACTTGTAGAGCGCCAGAAAGCTGGGCGCAGCGAAATCGTGAAATAAGAAATTCGTCGCCTGCTTACCTGGAATTAGTATTTGATGGCCATGTGGCTACAGTTGGTTTATATAACGACATACTTAGTCACAGTCTAAGACGGAAATAGCTGGGTAACCTATTGATAAGACAAGAAATGTGGGTTAATAGCAACGGGGCAGAGCTCAACCCCTACGCTCGATGGCACCCTTACTATCAGCTGGAGGCTTAGCACTTAGCTTACGTTGAAAACTGTCGGTGATTAGGATCTTCACCGACACCATATAGGCATATTGGAAATTTACAATATTTGATTATCCCATGAAATCGAATGGGAATTTTCAATTCCCGAATGCGACGGGACAGCGGCAGCCATCTCGTTCCGACTAGCGCTCATGCGATCGGCATGTATCGAAGGTGCCCGTCTTTATCTTATCTCGAAAATATGCCTGGTAGGTTCCTCAGTGGAAGCGTGTACATCGCCGATCGGCAACACATCCTCAAACATACGTTTTGGGTTTCCTTATCGACGACCTTTTTACACAATTTCTATAGCCTCCGAGCTGTCGCTCTGCGGTTCCTATATTTGCTAGCTTCCGACCGCTCGGGTCTATGAAGATGATATGGTCGTTTGGGGACTTTGGTCCTCCTCCTCCCTGGTACTGACCCTAACCCTTTCCATTTGCCCGCGAGGCGAGACCCAACCTGTTTGCCCTATCTATCGGGAGTATTAGACGTGTTTATCCAGCACACAATCGTCATAAGTTCGTCATATCTGCCCTGCAGAGCAGTCGATGGTTCCCACTGCTCACTCACTCACTCACTCACTCGCCATGATATCGATAAGAGTCCCAATCCAAATCCAGTTATCTGGCCGCACTCACACTTTCGCACCCAAAGGTAAAGCAAATAAAAATCGCTCGCCAGATAAGGAGTATCGTATAAAAAGCAATATCTATGAATATATGTCATTATTTCGTTATTGAACTCCGAAGTGCGCAGTGCGCTCGAGTCGTAGTTGTTGCTCCAGTTGCTCCAGTGGCTCCTGGTGATTCCGAAGTGTGGTGACCGATTGATATATTTGGTGGATTAAAGTGTTCTGAGTTATCCTTGAGGATTGTCTACGATCGGCGTGGCTTTGGCAAGTAGAATAGCAGGCTTATCACATGTTCCATTCAATCTGCTGTGAGATTCTTCTATTCTACTTTCGACAACACCCGTTTACATCAAACCCGACCCGTCTACCAGTGCCATTTCAAGGTAAAAGCCAGAAAGTAAAATGGGGGCAGTGGAGTTATCCAGCTAAGTTGTATCGTAGCCCATATCGTTGATTTGTTATCTGCCCTGCGGTAGTATTTCTTTTTTCTGCCTATCAGTCATCAGTCTAACCGCTCTGCTGAATCATAATTTTCCCAATCGGGGTGGGGTCACATACCGGTGAATGGGGCCCTTGGGCTCTTGGACTGCGAAACCACGGAGGCCCAATTTTCGTGCTGATCTCATTGCCGTGCACATAACCCCTTTGGAGACCATGTGATGGCTTGTTCGCTTATCAGTGATTAGTTTTGAGTTGTCTTCATGGAAACCTGTGCTGGTGAAATCAACAAAGTGGCGACGAACTTATGGAGATAAGAGTTCGGCACTCTTTGGGCTCCATAGTTAATGCTATTTAGCTGAAAAGCTGTTTTCGAGATTCGCGCAGTTTGGGACGTTAGCTTGTGCAAAACAAAAGTAGTTTAAGAAATTATTTTCCAAATTGCCAGCCCTTAACCCGATTCCCAAGTCTACTTTCGTTTACGTAATGCCCTGAGCCAAGTTGAAGCCAACGACAGTTTATGCCTTCCCTAGGCAACCATCTTCTCTTGGATGGATACAAAATAAGCGCCTATATCCATGTCATTTGTCTGTCTGCTCCAGTCGCTGCCGCTCGCTCCCCTTTGACTTTGTCAGTCAACATAATGAAAATGCAATTAATTTTTTCCAGCAATTTCTTTTCCAGCCCCAATCCCGATCCCGCTTCTCAAAGCTGACGCCTCGTCTGTGCTCGTTGGACCCACTCAACCCAGTACATTTTCACCCATCCGATGCTGTTGCAATATTATGACTCCTGCTGTTTGTTCCGACAGCCGGCTGAGCCGGGATGTTGGGCAAAGCGGCAAAAGAAATGTTTATTGTGGGGCATTTTCTATGGCGATTGCAATGCCGCTCTGCCCTTTTACCCTGCTAGCGCCAGCCATTCGCATTAAATGAGGAAACCAATTATTCGCGCTTATAAAGATTTACCGCCATAGAGCCCACATGCAGCCCAGCCCAGTTAGACAGTTGGAGATATAGATGCGAGTGCTTCAGCTCAACTCCAGTCCCCCACCAGTGGCCTCCGTTTTGTTTCGCTTTTAAGGGGAGCCCTCCTCCGCCTGGCCGCAGGCTCGCTGATTAAAGCCTGGGATTGCATTGCAGGAAGTCCTGGGCAGTGGGATGCGGCGATTCTGGGCAGTGGATGGAGCCCCAATATGGGATACTGGGATACAGGGATACAGGGATAGAGTCGAACGCAGTAATTACTTAAAAATATACAAAGAGAAATGACAGGCTTAGTTGCGATTCCAGTTCAACCTCCTCCACATCGAGCAGACCATCCGTATCCACTTATCCCTAATGCGGCCACAATTTCCTGTTGCCCGAAAAACATTTTCGCAAGAATTTGCTCATTTCTAATGGGAAACCCTTGGCGCGGCCAATTTGGGTGTGCAGCGCACAGGCGCCTGGCGAGACAAAGGCCTACTCAAGCCGCCCAGACGGGCATCCTTGCGGGTCCTGCCGCTGGCATAACTTGTCATTTGTCTTGGACACTCTAGAGCGGAATCTCGCTGAAATTACCTTTCATTTTGTCATCAAAAAGCACTTGAAGGGGGCATTCACGAAGTCGGAAGCAGGCGTCAGAAGTCACTCCCCGGGTGTCCTGTCGTGTCCTGTCGTTAGGGGAAGTCTGGCCAGCCGCAGCAATTACAGACGTTAATGTCCAACGGCCCTGCCCAGTTTTGCCCGACCGTGCCCTTTGTATCTCCGATTTTGGCTTAAAGTCTTTTAGATCCGGCTTCCGGTTCGCCTTGGCTGGCTCCTTTCGGCTTCTGCTTCTGCTTTTATGCGACCCTTTGTCCGATGCACTTCCTGAAACCGAAAGCGTATCGGGAGCCCAGGATGAGAGAAGCTGAGCTGAATCAGAAGCGCTAAATTAAAACGTAAATACCACTTAGCCGGGCTATAAAGCAAGTGGCCGCTCTGGCTCCCACCTGTAATCATTGGGTAATTAAGCAGAGGAGCGGAAGCCGAGGAGCACACCTTGGAGTCGCTTAATTTGTGCAACCTGATTTAATAACTGTGCAGAGCTCGCCTCCAGAGCCGAAGAGCCACCATCCACCACCCAACGGAACCCGAGCTAGGAGACCGAACTTAATTTCATGGGACGCTTATCACGCGCCAAACTATAAATATGCTTCTAAACATTCGTTTTGACAGCTTCATCTGCAGTGTGCAGCCACCCTGCCACACCGTGAAAGTACAGTCCCGCCTCGAGTACAGTCCCGCAGCAGAGTCAAAGTTTTTTTGCACTTCTTGTGCCCGTTTTTGGAAGCTGGGGTGGGTGGAGGACGATATTGCAACGGCTGCAGAGTGTGCAAAAATTCTAAACTGCAATAAATTCATCAAATGTGCAATGAAACATGCTGTAATGTCACGCCCACGGCCCCATTCATCCGTGCCACCCGCCCCGAATCCGGGGACGCTCCTCGCCGATAACTCCACCAAACGCGCTCCCTTTTTGGCCCGGAATTGGGTGATATTTTGTAGGCAAATGTGCAATAAATTGTAAATGTTTGCCGTCCGTGTGGGAGAGCAACGTCCCGTGGTTCATGGTGATGTGGCAGCTGTGTAGCGGACCCGTTGCAAATTTGCGATGCCCCAACGAGTGGGGTTCACCGAAAAACTTGTCCGCTGCACGCCTGTCAACTTTTATAAGTATTTTTGCAGATTGTTTTTTGCGCCCAAGACTTTTTCTGTTCAGGAACAGTTTCGGTTGCAGCACGGACAGCCTGAAAAAATTCAGAGCGCGATAACGGTGGCCTGCAGCGAATGCAATTTAGTGGGCGGGACTGGCCGACGGGACCAGATAATGAAACATGGATAGCAAAAGTTTCCGAGAAGTGAAGTCATAAACTAAGCCAGGCTAGGACGATGGCTTCATATGTCGCTGTCGAAGAGGCAGGTAGTGATTCGTGAAGGACCCAATCAATTGGGTACCAGTTCACTGAGTGAAGAATATTATATTATCATCTAGATAGTGTCTTTACTATACTATATTATCTAGTGTTTTACTAGATAGTTTTTTTGTTTTAAACTTTGTGCATGTAAGCTTTGGCTTTTTAAACGGTGGCTAATGGGTGTAAAGAGGTGTATAATAAAAATGAAATAATTGTTGAACACCTCTAACAGATACCACTTTATGTTTATTACAATTTTTCCCCGCATTCCGATCGCCTATCCAACTGCATCCTCTATCAAATGGGTAAAAACAAACAAGCCAGCAAAATGTGCCCACACCCGTCCGCAGCTCATTCAATTATGCAATTATTATTTGGCCTTTATTTAATGCAATTAAAAAATTAAGCGGACGCAGGAACGGGCCGAGTTGCAAATTGTGCTGCCTGTGCAGGATCGTGACACCATTTTTCATCCCCTTGGCAATCGAGAGTGGGTGGTGCAACAATGCCATCAGCCGAAAGCTGCAAACTCCTGAGGTCGATGTGCAGGGGCAGCAGACACCAAAGCGTTGCCTAACGCAGCAGAAATGCCCCCAAATGCCCCCAAATCGTATGCGTAA